CGGGGCAGTGAGTCCTTCGGGGCACGGGCCACTCCCTCCTGCCACCTCCTCAGGGGCAACATCGCAGACCGGAAGGACCAGTACCTGAAGCACTGCACTTTCGACGAGGTCTCCGACCCCTACTGCCCCATCTTCAGGCTGGGCTTCATCGTGGACAAGGCTGGGGAGAACTTCACCGAGCTTGCACATCAGGTGAGACGGTGCTGGGCAGCAGGCCAGGGGTGCAGGACGGTCCCTGACAGCTGGCGGTCCCTCCAGCCCAGTGTGAACACGGCACCTGCTGTGCTACCAGCCCTGTCACATGCCGGCTGCTAGTGTAGCACAAGGCTTCACAGCCCAGAGGCTGGGTGTCACCAGGCCCTGGCGGGAGGGGCGGGGACCGGGGGTGGCCCCCAGCTCCCGCGGCCCCACCCCCTCTCCGCCTGCCTCTTGGCAGGGGGGCCATCATCACCGGGGACTGTGCCCTGCCCCTGCCAGCGTCGGAGTGCAACCCTAAATACTCCTTCCGGAGGCTGGACCCCAAGCATGTGCCCGCCTCTTCAGGCTACAACTTCAGGTACCCTTCCCGGCCCGAGTCAATGGGCACTGGCAGCCCTGCTTCAGGACCAAGCAGGGCAGGCCCCAGGGCCCAGGCCCCTCGGGAGTGACCCTGGAGCACAGAAGACAAGTGTGTATGCAGGTGGCCGCCCTGTCCTGCTCCTCGGCCAGGCAGCCAGGGCATGCTTCCTGGGGCTTCCCTTCCAGGTTCGCCAAGTATTACAACACCAATGGCACCACCACACGCACACTCATCAAGGCCTATGGGATCCGCATCGACGTCATTGTGCACGGGCAGGTGAGCACCTCTGGGCGCACTCCGGCCCTGCCCACCTGCACGGCTCCCCCAGGACAGTGGCAGGCCCATCCCTCATGCAGCGCTGACTCCAGTCGCCACTGTCTAAAGGCAGGTCTGTTCTCCCCAGGCAGGGAAGTTCAGCTTGATTCCCACCATCATCAACCTGGCCACAGCGCTGACCTCCATCGGGGTGGTAAGGAGCTGCCCGGGGCGGGGAAGCTGTGGGACCGCAGGCCCTGATGCTACTCTCTGCCGGCCCCAGGGCTCCTTCCTGTGCGACTGGGTCCTGCTGACGTTCATGAACAAGAACAAGGTCTACAGCCATAAGAAATTCGACAAGGTGTGTGCACCAGGGCACCTCCCAGGGAGCTGGCCTGTGACCCTAGCCCTGGTTTTGGGACAGGCCCCGCCCCCACCTGGTCACTGCTGGAGGGACCAGCCACACAGCCTTCCATCAGGCCAGGGGGGCAGACCAGGGGCAGAGCCACACCTGGCCATCCTGCCCCCACGGCCCTGCCCCGTCTCTGCCCCATCCGAGCAGGTGGTGGACACACCTGGCCTGAGTGTAGAACAGAGGCTTCCCACCTCCGAGCCACCCCAGCAGGACCCAGCACCCACCGACCCCAGAGGCTTGGCCCAACTCTGAGCACCCTTTCCCTGCGGGCCCTGCAGTGGACCTGCGCCCTGCCTGGGCATGAGAGAGGCTGTGCACCTGCACGGCACAGGAGCCAAAGGGCCCGTGAGAGGGAGAGGCTGCACTGCTGCCCAGGCTGCCCTCCTGCCCCACCCCAGCCCCCAGGGTGCCCAGCTGACCGAGGCACCTTGTCCCTACTGCCGTCACAGCCACCAAGAACCTGGGTCAGGGCTGTGCTGAGGGGGCTGCCTCTGCTCTTTGGGCCACAGGGCTGACCACTCCCTGGGCTCTGTGACCTAGGGCTCTGCCTGGGCCCTCCCCTAGTTCAGAACATGCTGAGTCCAATAAAGCAGTGAGCAGACCTCTGGCCTCGTTCCTCTGGAGCACCATGAGCTCGAGAGCAGAGAGGGCTGCATGCTGCCTGGCAACACAGGCCTGGGCCTGGGCTGTGGCACAACTACCTGGTCTGGGCTTCCTCCCTTAACCAGGCATGTATGTCCCCACGTCCAGCCAGGTCTCAGTCATTTCTGCTAGGGGACAGACGGCGAGCACACTGGTGCACCTGCTGGCTTACTGCAGGGTCTGTCCCTCCTTGGAGTGGGGAGGGTGTCTACGAGGGCAGCGAGGCCCGGAGGGAGGCGGCAAGGCTGTGCTCAGGACAGTGGGGCAACTCCACCATGCTTGACCCACGTGCTCTCCTCTTCGAGCCTGCACCGAGAAAACCGGACTGTGGCATGGGAGGTGGCGTGGCTCGGCAGGGAGCCCAGGAGCCAGATCTGGTTGTAATGCAGTTACTGCTTCCTCCACGGCTGCGTCAGGCTGGCGCCCCCTGCTTGGGTCAGAACTCGGCTCAGGGCTTTGCCGAGTGCCTTACACAGGCCCCTCTGTGACAGCATGTGACACTCTTCTCAGACGAGGAAACCGAGCCATGAGTCTAGGAGTTGAGTGGAGGGCATGGACCCAACACAGACCCAGTTCCTAGCATCTTCAGTACACAGGGGATGTGAGCAGGCAGCTGGGAGCAACGCTGGTGGTGACAAAGCTTGTCCACAGCCCTCCCCTTCCTGGACATCGGCCTGCTCACCCAAGCTCTGGGGACAGCTTGTATCTGGGTCACAGGATGGCAGCTCTGGTTTTGGAGACTGGCCTTTCTAGCTCGTCTGACAGCTCAGGAATCAAGCCCCAGGCCTCCCCAGGGTAGCCAGGGTGAACTGTGACCCCGCAGGGCCACCAGCCCTCTGGGTGTGAGGACTGTGTCCTCCGCCTCCCCTCCTCCAGCGTGGCTTCCTGGAAGCCTCTTGGCTGCCTGCCTCCTCCCCACCACCCTAATTTGATTTGATCTCACTGTCCCTCCCGGGTGCTGCCCACTTTCCGAGGGCATCAGGTTTCTCCTGGCAGGCACTGGCGCCCTGAGCAGCATTAGGTCCAGAGAGGTGCCCAGGGGACAGTCCTCCTCCCAGACTGAGGGGCCTGCACAAGCACATGCTTGAGGCATGGCCAAGGGGCACTGCATGTCACACAGTAGGATGCCTGCTGTCTGCAGTGGGAGACCAGGACCCACCTGCTGCACCACCTCAGCCTGCACACGGCACCTGCTCGCCACACTGGTGACACAGAGGACGGCATTTATGACATGGTCCCAGCCTCCCAGTCGGCACACCCCTCCCCGCTGCCTCTGCCCGTTTGAACCCAAACCTCCCACATAGCCGTCTTGTTAAAGATCTCCCTCATCACGGTGGCATGGTGGCTAAGGAGTTGGACACTCCCACATGGCTGACCACTGTTCAAGTCTCGGACCTGGCAGCTTACTTTCTCTGTTTCTCTTTGGTCAAATTTAAGTGAATGAATAAATAAAATTACTTAAAAAAAAAAAAAATCTCCCTCATGGAGCACGGTCCAGCCAAAAGCCCTTCCTCCTCTCAGGGTTCTGGGTGGGTGCACACACATGCCTACTGTTTTTCTTTTTTTAATATTTAATTAAAAAAATTATTTAGCTTTATTTTAACTTGATCAGAGAGGGACAGAGTGAGAGAGTGAGCGAGGGAAAGTGAGAAAGCAAGCCACAAGGTCTGGGACTCAAAATTGTAGTCAGCCATGTGGGAATCTAGCACCCCCAACCACCACGCCACTTGCTGGCCCCATTATTTAATTAATTTTATTATTTTTAATTTGATGAAGAGAGAGGGAGGGAGGGAGGGAGAGCAAGCCACCAGGTCTGAGACTTGAACTATGGTTGGCCAGGTGGGAGTCCAGCATCTTGGCCACCACCTCCTGGTGTTTTTTTCAAGCTGCCAAATCCAGGAAGTGAACCTCAGGGTTGGCCACATGCCACAAGCTAGCCCTCTAAGTCCCCACTTAAGGGGCCAAAGCATCAGCCTCAGACCCGAGGGCCTCAGACTGACACTGGCCCTGTCCAGGCCAGTGGCTCGAGTCCCAGGCCGGACACGGCCCTCCGAGGTTGAGGACAGAATGGCACACCTCATCCCTGACAAACCCTTCTTTCTCCCTCCCCCCACTTCAGAGCAGAAGGCAAGCTATCATTGTATGTGTGTGTGTGTGTGTTTTAAGTTTTGCCACCGGGTGTGTGCACTTTCTGGAGACACAGAGAGAAAGTGAGGTACTCTCTAAACGACCTTGGGGACACACACCCACACACCCAGTATCATTTTCAAGTTGCTGGGTCCAGGACTTGAACCGCTTAGCCACACGGGATCCAGCTGCCTTAACCTCCATACCACCTGCTGACCCAAGAATCTACAATCTTGCTTGTTAAATATTTTCCTAGGGTTAGCCCTGTAGCCTGATGGGCCCAGCAGCCCCCAAGGGCACCTCCAGGAGACAAGGGGAAGACGGGGTAGCAGGAGGGCCTTCCCCACGCTACCCAGTAGGTACAGAAGGCCACAGCACATTGGTCCATTCGGCGAGACCACCCTCAGGCCTGAGTCTTCTCGGCACATGGCCTGCTTCAGTGGGTGTCTGACAAGGATGGAGCCACTTCTGAGTCCCCAAGTTGTTTTGCTCGGTCCAGCCCCATCCCCAGGCTGAGGTCAGGATGGGGCATACGCATGGGGACAAGGGTCCTGGCACCAGTGCTGAGGCTGGCTGAGCCCAGTTTGTTAACGGCCCCCAGAGGGGCTCTTCTGTAGTAGCCAGTCCAAGGTCTCCATGAGGTATGCCATGCCATAGTGCTGGGCGATGTTCCGGAAGATTCCGACCTGCTCCATAAAGACCTGTAAGACAGGCAGTGTGAGCCCAGCCCCACCCAGGGAGGAGGCAGAGGCGGCGAGGCGAGGCTGAGCCCACCCACCTGAGTGTGGACGGTGAGGTCAAAGTCGCCAGCACAGCTGCAGTACACAGGCATGTTGGTCTCCTTCACGCCACGGCACTTGAGGCATATCTGAGACAGAGCAGCCCTGTTGGGCGCCGGCCTGCCAGCCCTGCCAGGCCCCTGGGCTCCTCCCATGGCTTTGCTGAGTGCCCGGACCGTCAGAACTGTCAGCGCATGCTGCTGCCTTGCCATCCACATCATCTCTCGGTCCAGAGGAAACGCAAGGCTGTCCAGTGCTGGCCCCTCTGCCCCTGCGCCCTGCTCTCATTCACCGCAAGCGCCCCCGGGCCCTAAGGCCCCGCTCAGATGGCCCCGGAAACCCTTTCTGGCCCACTGAGCACTGTGGCCACCCCTGGGTCCCTGCCTTTCTCCCCTACCAGCAGGGAGTCCAGGAAGCCAGCACTGGGCCCACGGCAGTCAGCGGGGCTCGTGGACGAGGACTGAGTGTGAAGCGGTCCCTTAGGAGGACATTAGAACACGCGACTCCAGAGCCATGCACACCCCACCTCCCAGCTCGGCAAATGCCCGTGACTGCAGTGAGCAGCACCCGCTCACCAGGTCCTGCAGGGTGAAGGCCATCAGCTTCTTCTGCAGAGCTTCCACCAGGGCCATCTCGATGGCCGCAGAGTCGTAGGCGACCTGACAGTTGGAGCAGAGCCACTGGGGCAGGACAGCCCCGTCCTAGGCAGGGCAAGGCGAGTGAGAGGTCACATTGGCCATGGCCCGGGAACGTCGACAGCAACTTGAGGGGAAGACCCAGCACGAGAGGAAGGGGCTAGCAGGAGCGGGGGGGACAGCGAGAGGACGGGGCTAGTAGGACTGCTCCGTGGGGGACAGCGAGAGGACGGGGCTAGCAGGACTGCTCCGTGGGGGACAGCGAGAGGCCGCGTGCCCCTGCACCTGCGCCAGGACCTGAGGCAGGTGGGCAGCAGGCATAGCCAGTGGTGGAGGTGTGTTCCGATCCTACCAGTGAAGGGCGCGGGCTGAGCCCACCTGAGAGGAAGAGCCTCTACACAGGTCCAGGTCTCGGCAGGAGCTGCAGCTGCGGCAGACAACCTCCGGCAGCACGTAGGAGCGACAGGGGTCTCTGAATTGGGCCTCCTCGGAGAACTCAGCCACGTCCACCAGGCGAAGCAGGTCTCGGTTCAGCTTATTCACCTGGTTCGTGATGTTCGTGTCCAGGGACAGAACCTGGGGAAGCACGGTCTATGAGAAAGGAGCCCGGCCTCTCACTTTCTGGCCCCCCAAGCTATGGTTTCTCAGCACATCTTACCCCTCCCTTAGTCACAGCAGTTCCTGGGAGAGGGGAGGCTTCACTGGTGACTTATCCAACATTCAGGGAACAGACCATCCTTCTCTACACACGAAAACTGCAGGGGGAGAGCACCCTGACCCCAGTGGGTGAGCATTGTCTGTCCGTGGTGTGCGTCTCCCAAACGCACATGCTGAGAACGTTATGAATCATATTCCCTTAGCAGCAGCATGGTCCTCGAGGCTGCCAGCGGCTGAGGGCAGGACTCAGACCAGGACGGTCACACCTGGACACAGACCTCATGCTCCTGCCCTCCTCCATGTCACGATGCAGGAAAACGCCCATGACAGAGGTTGCCCCTGGCCACCCAAAATGGATCAGTGAGCCTCTCCTCTGAGACGGCCACACTCGGGTGCTGTCATTAGCAAGGGAAAAGACTAGGACACCGTGGTACCAAGACCAGACAGACGGGACCAGCAGCTGGCGTAATGGCTATGTCGCTGGACTCCTATGTGATCGACCACGGTTCGAGTCCCAGACCTGGTGGCTTAAACTCACACCAGGTGCGTGTCCGTGCGTGCCCAAAATCTCAAGAGGAGAATGGAGAAGAGACTGCAGAGTGGTCATCCCCATGGGGGGTGATTTCTCACTTTCTGTCTCTCTCTGTCTTTCTGGAGAGCGCGCATGCCCTATAGCAAAAACCTCTCTAAAACAAAAAAAAGAAAATGACAGATCAATGACTATTACAGGCAGAGATACAGAAATCCACACAAGATATTAACATGTTACAGGACCAGCAGTTGGCATAATGGCTATGTTGCTAGACTCCCATGTAGTTGACCATGGTTCAAGTCTCGGACCTGGTGGCTTAAACTCACACCGGGTGCGTGTGCGTGTGTGCCCAAGATCCCGAGAGGAGAATGGAGAAGGGATTGTGACGTGGTCATCTCCTCTGGGGGCTGATTTCTTGCTTTCTGTCTCTCTGTCTCTCTCTGTCTTTCTGGAGAGCGCACGCACCCTATAGCAAAAACCTCTCCAAACAAAAACAAACAAACAAAAGACCAATGGTTGCCAAGGAATTCAGGTGAACAAGGAGCTGACCTCCAAGAGCAGCTCGGGGAGCTTTGAGAGGCAGTTTACTGATCCCATCTTTTTTTTTGCTATAGGATGCATGCATGCATGCACTTGAGAACGAGAAATCACCCTCACCACCCGGAATGGCCACACACGATCTCTTCTCCTCCAGTTTCCTCTAGGAAAAAAACTTTTTTTTCTTCCTTTTTTCTGGGGGGCGGGGGGAGAGGTGCCCAGCAGCATCTGCACACCACTGCCTCCTCCCGCCAGTCCTCCAGCTCACCAGACGCTGGGCATGCCAGGGCACTTCAGCTCCACCCAGGATCTGAACCCGAGGTCGGCCACATGGCTCCTAGCACGAGCTCAGTAGGCTGGGCCTGTGCAGTGACAGGGTGCAACTCTGCCCACTGGGAGAGCTCGAGCTCGTACCCTGCCAGTGCATGTTTTACTATGTGTGTTTTATACCTTAACAAAAGTAAGCATGTAGTCAGTGGAGGGCCAAAAATGGTAAAACAGTTTTGGTAACATTTTGCAAATGTCATTTTCTCTGGGCCAGTGGTGGCATGGTGGTTAAGGCGGCCAGACCCCACAGGGCCAACCGCGTGGTTCAAGCGTAGAATGTGCCAGGTACACGTGCCCGTCCCTCTGGAGGGTGCTCTCTCACTACCCCTCTTTCCCCTCATCTCTGTCTCTCCCTTATAGGGAAAGTTTTTTTTTAAAGAGATACCCGTGACAGGGCTCTGTCGTTCCAAGATCCCTCCCTCAGGCTTCTGGCCAGCAAGGATCATACTTTAGGTCGCCCAGGATCCAAACTCCAGTTGGCCGTGTAGTCACTGGGGGGGGGTGAGAGCATGTTTGTAAAGAGAGGGGAGGACAGAGAGAAAGCGGTCCAGTGCGGTGTGTGGTCGTGTGGCAACCCTTTTCCCCACTCCTGCGTCCCATCGAGATTTGGGCACATGGGCACACATGCCTGACATGCTTTTCTCAAGCCGCCAGGGCCAGGATTTTAAACCCCACCGTGGACAACCATGTGGGATACCGCTCTCTGTGCACTGTCTAGTTGCCACACTATAGTCAGCCCCTAAAAACACTTCTTTGTACCAGTCGGACCTGGGACAGACCCTGGATCACACGTGTCACCTAATTGGTGTGTGAAGTGCAGTTGGCTGGAAGGGGAGGTCATGTCAATATCAGAGTGCTGTCAGGAACACGCAGCACAGCCGGTATCTGGCAACACATTGTCTCGCTGGACTCAGCCTGCCTTCCCAGAAAGGAATTGGTGTCCAAGCCAGCTCTCAGGCCATCGGTCTCGAGCTCAGTCCTGGCTTCCTGCTCAGCCTGCTGTCTCTGTGCTCCTCTGGCCCCTCCCCCGCGCCCCTCCCCCCCGGCCTGTTCCACCATGTGCTCAGCATGCGACTTTCACCAACACACTGAACACACCCACCACAGACTAGCTCAACCCCGTCTGGGCCACTGCCCCTGGCCAACCTTCTCCCCTCGAAGGTCTCTGGGATCTCAGCCCCAGCCCCCTCAGAGGCCCCTGTCCTCACAGCACCTGCATCTCTCTTTCTGTTTTTTAAAAAACACCAATCCGGGAACCAGCAGTTAGCGTAATGGCTATGTCGCTGGACTCCCACGTAGTCGACCGCGGTTCGCGTCCCAGACCCGGTGGCTTAGAACTCACGCCGGGCGAATGTGCGTGCGTGCCCAAGATCCCGAGAGGAGAATGGAGGAGACAGGATTGCAGCGTGACCATCCCCCCTGGGGGGTGATTTCTCACTTTCTGTCTCTCTGTCTCTCTCTGCCTGTCTGGCGAGCGCACGCGCCCTATAGCAAAAGCCACACCACGCCACATATAGCAAAAACCGCTCCAAAAAAAAAAAAAAAAAAAAAGCAAAAAACCCCCAAAAAAACAAAAACCAAAAACCAATAAAACCACCAATCTACCCACCCATCCTTCCATCCACTGTGACTTTCAAGCTGCTGGGTCTGGGACTTGAACCACGGCTGGCCGTATGGGAACCCAGCGCTTGAATCACCGCGCCCTGGCTGGCCCCAGCACCTGCATCTCTCAGCTGACCGCCCCTTTGATTGACTGTCCACCCTGGCAGGGACCACCGGGGCAGGGTTCTCCCATCTTGTTCATGCCCCAGCCCAAATGCCCCGACAGCAGCTGCATGGGACAGGGATGCAGCCGGCGCTGTGAGCTGAGTGACGTCCACCCGGTGCTGACCTTGTGCATGGCACACATGCACGTTGCCACCCTCACCTTGCACACGTATTTGATGAACTCCAACGCAGGGTTATTAAGCACCAGGTGAGAACCTGGCAGGAGGGGGAACATCTCTGAGAGCTCAGTCGAGTTCCGGGAGCCTGTGACTTTCTTCTGGATTTTCTGAGTGATGGTGAAGAAGCTCTGGGTGAGTTCATTGGCCACATAATCCTGAGAGAAAGTGATCACTCCTGGGGAAAAAGAAGGGTGTGATGGAAGGACCTGGACCTGCCCTAGTGACAGGCACCTCCTCCCGTCTGCCAGCGCCCCCAAAGCGCAGAGGGGTCAGGTTGTTGGCACAGGGCCGTGGCCTCGTGTAACAAGACCGCTCACCAGGAAGGGCTCCGCACACTCCTCCAGCCTCCTGGGAGAACTGGCTGGCCCCCCTCCTCCTCACGGGGGTGCTCCCGGGGGCGCTGCGCCGAAGCTCATCCTTCATGCTGTGGTACACCGCCACGATGTACGCTGCAGAGCCAGGCGGCCGTGTCATCAGAAGAGCCGGGACGCACCCCTGAACCGACCGCCCCGCTATCTGGGCTGAGCCCCGTGGTCAGTGATGGCTCTAACTGCTGACCAAAGGGTGAGAGAGGGCACCGGGGCCAGCAGGTGGGTTAGGGTGACCAAAGGCCAGTTAGAGGGTGAGAGAGGGCACCGGGGCCAGCTAGGTGGCACGTAGATTAAGGTGGCCGGGCCCTACTAGGCTGCTTGGGCAGTTTGAGTCCTGGACCTGTGGCTTGAAAAACACGTGCAAGTGTGCCCAGAATCCCGACAGGAGAAAGGAGAAGGGTGTGCTCCTGCCTTCCTTTCTTCCTTCTCCCTTTCTCTGTCTCTGTCTTTCTGTCTCTCTGGCAAGCACGGGAGCTCTATAGCACTCTATAAAGGAAGGACGCCTGCTGCCATCCGAGCCTGTCCTTGGAACCTGTGCAAGTACAGGGCACACGTGGACCACACCTTCCCTGCGCCCATCCCTCGAGCTGTCTTGTAACCACCCACTGACTCGGCCCAGCTGCTCAGGTGAGTGGAGACCGACCTGTGCCCAGGGCTCACCTGAAACGATCATAAGGAAGTAGCTTTGGCAGGAGGCTGCCTGCGGCAAAAACTGCAAGATGTTCCAGTTGTTTTCCAGCAAGTCCTCCACGCTGGACTCCTCTGCACCCCCTCCGTCCTCCTGCTCTCTGCTGTCCTCGTCCTCCTGGTCATCGCCTGCTCTCTCCCCTGTCTGGGAGTCTTGCTGTAACACAAAGAGTCCACAGCACTGACTGGCGACCAGTCCTCCCAGTCCGGAGTCTGCTCCTGGGGTGGCACCGACTGCATCAGAACCAGCTTCTCAACACTGTTAGTGACTCACAAATCTGCCAGAGAGTGGGTGAAACAGCAACCTGACAGGGAAGTTATGCTGCAGCCTCGTTTCCATTTCTCTCTCTTTTTAAGGTTTGGGAGTGCACACTCAGGCGCCTGATCATGTTTCTCAAACAGTTTGGTCCAGGACTCAAATCACGCAGCCAGCCACATGGGATCCAGCCACCTTAACCAGTGTGGGCTGGCCCCAGACCCAGCTCTACTGTGGCCTCTCTGCCACGTGGCAGGTCTGCATGACTGCACACACGCCCCGCCCCGCCTGTGCCCTCGTGAGTGGACGTCCCCACCAGCTCCAGGCAGCTGTGCCTGTCGGGGACGTCATGAAGCTCTGCCCTCTTCCTCAACGGCTTTTCCTCTGATTTCTATGATCTGGCTCCTAGAATCCCACCCCCAATGGCTTCTTCATGGTCCTCTGTGAAGACCCCATGGAGGCCCCCACGTACCCCAGCTAACCTGCATCTGGACCTCACAGCCACCATGTGTCCCGGCCAGACACGACTCCCCCACACTGCTCCCACCTGCCACACCCACCACTCACCGATTGGGTCCTCTTCCAAACCCCACCTGGCACCACCACACTGGCACTAACCGGACTTTGCCCACCTCTGCCCTCTGACGGCATGTTATGCACAGGGCCAGGCAGACGCCAGGCCAGACACTGCCCACTCAGAATCTCCCATCCCTACCCAAGTCCAGTCCTGGCCCTGATCACACCCGAGTGGCCTGACCCAGCCAGCTTCGGCCTGAACCTGCAGCCACTGCCCCCCTGCTGCCCAGCTTCATCTCTTGCTCAGGCCTCTGCTTCCATGTCTCCACCTGGGAAATACCGCAGCCTCCTACCTCAAGGCAAGCCCCCGGTCCTGGCCAGGGCCGATGCCACCTTACCTGCTTCTCTGCTCCCAGTCACCACCCCACCCATGAGCCACCGAGGGGACATAGCCCACTGCGCTCACCACAGCACACCCAGGCCTGGCCCGACCCAGCCCTTGGCCCCGCTCCCAAGCATGTGCCATCTGTGGCAGGGATGAGGGCAGACCTGAGTTGTCTCAGTCCACATCATAGCCTTTACCTGTCCGCAGTGGATGGTAGGTGGAACTTTTCCTTTGATCCCACCGTAGTTAGATGGGTCCATCCAGAGGAGAAATTCCCAGCACCGAGAGAAAGAGAGCGTCAGGGAGTGGAAGATCTCTTTGGAGTAGATGCTGCAAAGAGGAGGGGAAGCTGCTTTGACAGCGGCAACGGCGTCCCCAGTCTCTGCCTCCCTGCCCCCCATCTCCACACCTACCTACTACCTTCCCTTTACTTAAAAAGGGATGTAAAGCGGATGGGGCCAGCAGGGGCATGGTGGGTGGGGCCAGCAGGGGCATGGTGGGTGGGGCCAGCAGGGGCATGGTGGTGGGGCCAGCAGGGCATGGTGGGGGGGGCTGGAACCCCCCCAGGCCGACCGCCGCGGGACCGGCGCCTTT